AGTAGTGCTGAATGCATCCTGAACATTTCCTTGCAGCGTAACTGCAATAACTGTAATGATACAGGCCTGATAGCAGCTGACATGATACGCCAGCTGGAGATCTCTCTTATGCTAAAAAGTTTATAGCCTTTCTGCCAAACAAAAGGGACAATCGGTAGGTGAAAATTAACTTCCAATCCACAATACCACAGATCTGAAGTTGGGTGCACCTATAATGCACAATTATAGCACTCTACCCAAGTAACCATTTCTCTTACAGCTTCTGCTACAGCTTAAAGAGCAGAGAAGCAATCTGGGTCACAAAATCTTAGTCAAATGTTGAGAGCAAGTTACCTAGCTGCATAACACTGCCACCATGCCATCTTCTCTCTCAAGAGAAAGTGTTTTACAGTAAGTAAAGCAGTGAATCCCTCTTTTAAATACATCCCTTAACCATCTTTAAATTTATTACATTTTAATTAAAGTCATAGGACTTCGTTTAGCTAAAGTTGAAAACCGCAGGTTGGCAGCCAGAATATCTTATTTATAAGAACTCCGAGGTCTTAGATTCCCATATTTGGCTTATGTTGCTTTAATTTATTTATTTTTCCAATTAAAACGTTCTCACTGCTCATGCATTTTTTATTCCCTAATGCTCTATTCTATCAGGAGAAACATAAAAGAAGCAGACAACATGTTTTTTCAGTTGGAGACTACTTCCTAGCCTGCTCCAGTTTTATAATCTATTCTCTTATGCTCTTACCAACCCCCTCCATCAAACAGCTAAGAGTATCCATCAAAAACACAGGCTGTATTCACAGTAAAAGGCACTCCAGCACGTATTTTCACTGGAAAGCATTAATTTTTGCAGCAAAGTGCCTTTCTCCCTTTTACACCTGCAGGCAGACTTCAAGTAAAGGAATACTGATACTGTCTGAACAGGTGAGTACCTTTGTAGCAATATGGTTAATGAGAAATAAAACAATAAAAATCTAAAGCAAGCAGCCTTCAAGCCTACCTCCCTAGATTAATTAGACACACTGAGAACAATCTGGAATTCTTAAATAGTCAACAAATACATTTTGATACAGTACCGACCACCTCTTAAATTGCAGGCTCCGTGCCATTCCCTCACATTTAATAGTGTTAAGAGAAGAGTAACATTTTTCTGTGTTGTTACTGTAGTAGGGGGCAAGCATTGCAGTGGACAGCCAGGTACCACAGGCAACATTACAGACTCTACAGCTGAAACAAGTTCCCAGTAAAGAGAAGACAAACGCCAGCTCTTGTAGGACTACGACAGTCTCCTGGGGGTGCAAATCTCCTGACAATGGAGGTAGGAACAGCAGGATCCTTCACCTCTGCTCCCCTAAGAGGCCAGATCTGGCAACGTGCATGGCAGAGTTTATTTCATTATATATTAACCCATTAATGCCATAGGTTATTTAGGGACCCTCTGGCAATGACACAGTTGCTCTAGCTCAACCTAAACACTTGCCAGAAAGCCCCTGATAACCCCCTTTGCCCTAGAGCGGGAGAGCACAGATCCTACACATAACCAGTATTTTGAAACAAGATTTGTTCGCCACTAGTAGACGCAGCATTGGAGACGCAAGGAAATTAACAGCAGCGTACTTAATTTCCATGTTACTTCCAGCACAGGTTTTACTTGTGCATCAGTTGTACATTCATAATTAATACAGTCTTTTAATTTTTCTAAGCTTTCTGAACCTTACTAGAATGTTAAAAGCATGTTAGCGAGTACACCTGCCGCTTAGTACGCCACTTGTCTGAGATGTGTCCCTGGCTAGAGGTTACTGCCTAGGCCCAGCACAAAGGCTCCCCAAGTCAGTGAGCAGAGTCCGGTGATATTCAACAGGTTTTTAGGCTGGACTCTGATGTACCTTCCTATCAGCAGCTCCAAGCTCCAGCATCAAACTCAGCTACAATTCTTACTCCTTGTTCTTGAAGGAGCAAGTAAGATGCATCAGGACCTGATTTCAAAAGGACACGTACTCGAGCAAACATACCTCCTTTGATACGTATGCCTCCCCCACCATATTACATCTCATTAGAACAGACGCAATTACACTGTTCTAAAGATGACTCTTAAAAGCACTAAAGGCTTTTACTAGTTCTCAAGTACTTTTCCCTAACCTATCCAGGTCTGAAAAACAAAGTCAAGTTTGAATTGAATCCAAAAGACAATCAAGTACCAAATGTCAAAGCAATTTTACGAATCAGAGTAATGCGGGTGATAAGGCTGGGAAGAATAAAAGTAGATTCAGCTATCTGTTTACAAATTAAAAGTTTCATCTCCAATGCTTTCTGATCTACTGCAGTTTTTGGAGCCCAGAGACTAGCTTTGGGTATCAATACAAATACCGTAGCAAAATTAGGTTGTGGCTGGATTTTTTACCCAGTGCAAACACTTTCAATGAACTCTCAGATACGGGTTAACTTTAGTAACACTGCATTCACAAATCAGTCACTCAGAATAGCCTTCCAAGTGTATAACGTATTACCATAGCCCTAAACAAAAGGCGTAATGCATTTATACAAATTCATGTATATCTGCAAGGAAGCAATGTTGCAACCCTCTTAAAGAAATCCAGTAGGAATCCAAGGGATTTTGTTGGTCAATTTTTTTTCCTTTTTGCTTTATTTTTTACAGGGGAAAGAACAGTAAGTAAAAAGCACAGAACTTCTTTAATTAGATAGGTACATTTCAAGCTAAATTCTTTTTCTGATGACATCAAATCTCTGCAGGAGGTGGGACAGGTGAGTCTACTGACTGTTGTGACTGACTTGTTCAATTAAGTCTGCAGAAGTATCAGAACTCTGCTGACAGATGCTGACACCACATTAGCCTAAAATGGTGACATTTACATTTAAAGTCTACAGCTCTTAACACTGGATTCTGTGCATACTTTCAGCTGCAGCTTTCCTAATGCTGACATGAGGAAGGCTCAAGATTTTCCATAGTGCTGAGAAGTACCCCTCATTGGCTTTCTCTTCATTTTCACATCTTTTAACATTTATTGTAGTGTCATCATGAAATGGTAGTGCAAAGAGGAACAAGATGGTGGCTCCTCTTCTGAGTGCAAAGATGTAGGGGGTTAAGACATAATAAAGGAAACTGTAACACCAACATTCACAAAATTCTCTAACATAACAGAGATGCCACAGCTAAGTCAGGAACTTCAAGACTTCCCTTTTTTTTTTTCCTTCTTCCATTTAAACTTCTACTACGATCTGCCCTCAAGTCATGTTTTCAAAACTATTCCCATTATTTTTCCACAGGAGTTGTCATAAACTACCACAAATTCACAGCCAAATAGAGGCATTTAGGTATAGGAACAGCCTTGAGATGTACCACCTTAAGGGAAACTCTTAGATGGATCATCCCTGTTTAGGGCTACCTGACAGAGACAGCTATACACATTTATCACCTCATATGACAGCACAGCTCATTCTGTAATTGTATTTATCTATTGCTGCCTGTTGCTGGAAAGAAAATCAGGTCGCAACCATGACTCCGTGCAGATCTCTTGTCCCTGGACAGACTTCTCCACCAGGCAGGATCTTTGTGCTGTCTTGCTTTCACATTGTGTGCAAGAAGGCAGCCAGCAAAACAATCTGCTAAAAAAGGGTATTCCTAAAATACATCTGCCTTTCATTAAAAAAAAAAAACACCACACATAGGAGATAATGAAGAACCTGTCCCAAAAGCCAATATGTCAATAAACAAACAAAAAAAGTATACTGTTGTAAGCAAAGAAATAATATAACAAACAAATAATGGTAAGATAAATAAATCAGATGACTGAAATGAAAACAATCTTTACAAATTGTAGATTTCACGCCTCAATGAAATTAAAATTGCTCTAAGCATTTAATTGCTTCTAGGGTCCAAATAAAAGGATTCAATAAGCAACCTTTCTTCAGATTAGATTTTTACTGTTGGTAGTTAACGCAGTTGCAGAAAATGGTTGTAACTTTCTTCTCAGAACAGTATCTCATAATTACTTTGGTCAAAATTAAAACTTTTTCAAATGTTCCCATACTGCATACTCCCATAATACTCATATAACTTTATTCTGCCCGCCTGAACAAAATAAGACTTTAGAAAGAAATATCTGCTACCATCACCCTATCCATTTAAGTGCCACAATTCCAAAATGCATATGCTGATCTTCTCACTGAAGGCAAAGGATATTTTTATATTCATTTCAGCACAAGACGACACAAAAGTACGGGATCATTTTCCTCATATCTAAAGACTATTTTGAAGGTCTCAATTTCAAGTTTTCTAAGTTTCCTCATCAACCACTATGTTAGCAAAAGCCAAAGTCTTCAATACATTGTGAGATCAAGTCTCAAGGGAAGAGAGATTCTAGGGAAGAGAGATTCTAGGTTTGCTGCTTTTTATTCCTTGAAATCCTGACAATCTGCCACCTTGCAGATTGCACAACTTTTAAAGTAAAAAAAGTGCAATGACAGACAGAATACCCTTCAGAAAATAAAAAGCACCAGTTCTAGACATGCAAAAAAGAGGCTTCCAGGTTTCTCAGAAGTTTCCAAGTGGGGCAGCAGGTGGAAAAATCAGTAAAAAGTGCATTGCTTGATTATGTAAAATAAAATTAAAATGCCTCTGAAACATCTATGTATTCTTCAAGTTTTCAGGTATGTTGAGTGAAGCAGCTCACAACAGACCAGACTGCACACCAATCTATCACACTTCAATGCAATCACAGTCAAACATAACATCAGCTAGTGCCTAACCTACAGAGATGCATTCAATAGTCCCCAGTCAGCAATCAACCTTTTCCACATTTGTTCATAATCACAATGAATCGTTTCATTTTAGTGCTTTGTTTTTCTTTTCTTATCCCACGGCAGTTTACCATGCTTTTGAAATTAGATACTTAAAAAAAAATTCTCCTTTTCCGATTTTACTCCTGTGTGTAAGTGGAGAGCATTTTTTAAAGAAATATAAATTACTGAACATATTTTCTTACCTGTTGCAGTCCACATGGAGCAGAAGGTGGGACGCGCTAAGGGACACAGCAATCTTGTGCCACTGTCCATCTGCCAGACGGTACGGGAACACCTCTGTTCTTGACTTCCCATTAAACCTGTAGTGATATCTAATCTCATCCCGTAGGCCACTGCTCTCCAGTTCAAAATAGCTGCATTTAAAACATGAAGAAGAATCAGTTCCATTTTTTTGTTTATTCATTGCTTCTGTTGCTTTCTTCTTAACTCATAGACTTCTTTAAGCAAACACCACATGGAAGGTCAGAATCTAAGGAGGTTACTCAACATGGATTAGCTACTAGTTCATTTTTCAAAAGAGGCAGAGAGACAAGACTCTACATTTAGTGCATTACAAAAATAGCAACACCTTTTACGTGAAAACAGCTCCCATTCAAAACACCATTTGAGAGTCCTGGAAACTGAGGCCCTCTTTTTACCCATGGAACAGGCTAAGCTACAAGCAAATGATACTTATTCTTTTCACCAACGTGTTTTGTATGAGAGCAAGATTTGTAGGACATGCAAAAATAAAGAACTGTACATATCATTACCAGTGAACAAACAAAAAGCCATTAAGGTAAGAAAGCGCCAGGTAATCATTAAATTTGTATTTACTATTTGCAAATTGACTTTTTAAAAAACTGTTTACTTTTAGGACTCCCCTACATGCAGTTGCGCTTAACTCCTTTTCTGACTTTTATTGTTACAGCTGTAATTGCTCGGCTTTACAAGGGAACCAAACCTCCTGGCTAGATTAGGTGTCTCAACACCTGGCATGCACAATCAAAACCTTCAGTTGTCACCAGAGAACAGTCATAGGAGAGCTAACCAAGTACGGCTATTAACTGGCTTCATGCCGGCGGGAGGAGCCATTCTTCCTCTAGGGTGAATTTAGCCCTTACAGGTGGTAGCCCATTGACAGGGTGAACCGTGAAGCCTTCTCTTGGACCTCAGATCACACAGAGTATTTGCAGCATATCAAATCAAGGCTCTCTTTTTCCTGCTAAAATGAAGCCCTGGATATAGAAAGGAGGAGATGCAGACCTCCTTTTATAGTAGAAATAACTCAACAACTAGGTGCAGATGTTAGGTTGTCCAGCTAGTCCCTACACACATCTACCTCCACAGCATCACATTTTTCCCTGCTGGACAACGCCAATGTAACATGGCAGTTGAAAGATGGGTGCTAGTTTGGGGTAAAAAAAAAAAAAAATTACAGTAGTGAAATCCACTTCCAAAAAATAAATGCAACACAAAAAAGTATCCAGGTGCCAATTTTCATTTTCACACAAGCCTTTTACACTGCTTGGCTGTACACAGACCTTAATAGCCAGTGGGCACAGCATGACATGAGGTATGTGCGCTTCATCAAGAACAGCTCTTACCAGTGAAATGGAGGCTTTTTAGAACATAACTGAAAAACAGAGTTCTTTGGGAGGAACTTACTTATGAGATAAAAAGCTAGCTGGGAATCTGTGCAAAAGATCACAACAGACCGAGAAGACCAAGACAATAAATCTTGACCAAAAGAGAAACTCGAAGCCTCCTCCATCCTGCCAATGTCTTGCCATTACATTTTTCATGCAACATACGAGCATTATCAGGTCACCCGCATCAAAGACTCAAGTGGCAAAGTAAAAACAGTCACAGGCAGATAAAGGCAAAACCAACACAGAATGAAAACACAGCAGGCATACGTACAAATAAAATACACGCAGCACAGAGAGGAAAAAACAAGAAAGGCTGGTGGTGTGAAGGAACTGGCCTGCTTCATGCACATAAAGGCACAAGCAGGGTAGAGAAACAGGAATTTTCTAAAGGGGAGAGCAGAATGTTGATTAACGACCACCAACCCATTAAAATACCTAAACTGCATTCATAAGAAACGTGGAGAGGACTTTTTCATTGGTTTATTTGGATGCTCAGTAAGAGCACAGTCAACATACAGAAGATACTACTGCTGGCATTTTCAAGCCAGGAAAGCACTAGGACAAGTACTGTCAGTGAAGTCATACTCACAAAGTTAAACGCTTCATAATTGCCATCTGCTGTCAAAGCACAAAAGGCAGTCATTAAAGAGACTTTCTTTCTCTCTTGTTCAGATAAACAGCAGCGAGGCAGAAAACTTGAAAAAAAAAATGAGGGAGAGCTACATAATGTTCTAGTATCTCTCTCGCATCCGAAGTATTTTTATAAATATATTTTTTTTTTTTTTTTTTTACATGGTTAATCATAGAAGCTTAAGAGCTTGAGAGCAAGGCAAGCTCCCGTTGCAGGAAGCACATCGCTTCCTGCAGTCATTCTTCATACTCTCTTCCAGCCACGGAGCTAACTGCTTACTACACAGTGTTTTGTTTGTTAATAAAAAGGCAACAGGCCAGCCCTGGAAAGGTCAGTCAGATACTGTACTTAATCACATCTCTGCTCCATTATTTGAACAGCATAGGGAATTGCAAAGCAACGTAGTTTCTCATCTGACAAGTTTTAGTGTCAATAGTTACTGCAGAACTAAAACCAGCTTGTTGCTTACGCACCGAGTTTGTTGTCAGTCTCCTAATTTATGCAATGCCGAAGTGACTAGTTAAAATTTACCATAAAAGCCAGTACTAACATTTTTATATATGTACACCTAATGCACTGCCAAGTGCCACAGGACTGTATAAAACACCATGTTTTACCTCTTCAGTCACAGCAAAGGAGGATGACAGCAGACAAATTCTGCACCTATTTTTCACCACCCTTCAACAAGTGCAAATCAGAAGCAGTTACGCTCAGACAAGCATCAGTAAACAACAGTCAACAAAATCCCAACAGCAGAAACTGGCTAGATTAGCCCAACATATATCTATCTCAATTATTTAAAAAACGCAAAGCAATGTAAACCAACACTCTTGCACTGATTTTTTTTTTTTAAAGACGCACAAATTCACATTGAGATCTTGACTAGACACACACACTTCACCATGTTCACAGTTCAGAAGATGCAGTTGTCTTTCCTCTGCCAGAATATAATTCACATGCAAATAGCTTTCTCAATAGCAAACATCATCTTTTCTTTCCTCCTCCCACCAGACTCTGGAGGAAAGCCTCTTCAAAAGCAATGACATAAAGGCCATTCACTCCTGGAAAGAAACGCACCTGCTCCATGTTCAAGTTCTAATCTGCAAATTGTGGAATGGAAGACAAATGAGTGGAAAAACATAAGCTTAGTAAAGAAACCATCAACCTGTGAGAAAATAATTAGTAAAGACAGAGAAAATAAATGGATTTTTTTTTTTATATCCATCTCATCTTTGACTTTAAATGCCACTGCACAAGTTTTTATCTACTCTAAACCAGCAGGTAAACAACAGGGGGAAATTAACAGAAGCTGCCATACAAGAGGCAAGAAAATGAACTAATCCCTCACAGGTGTTTTGTAGGTACTTCCCAGTATTTTGCAAGGAAGAAGAAAACATAGGAACAGAACAAGTCAGGGTTCCTGAAAGGACTGCAGCATCTGGGACCGCCTGAATACACGTATCATCAGTAGGCAAATGTGAACTTCCAAAGTTGCCATGAGATCCATATCAAGAGCCCAAGGGAGATCCCCGAATATTACAACTAGTTCTGCTTCTGCATCACATCTACGTGAAGCCTGTGTGTCAGCTTGCCGCTCCAGTTAGCCCCCTGCTACCCTCCTTAAGACCTTTTCCGAGAGAGAGATGTGAGACAGTAATCTACTTGTCAACTTGTTAGCACCGAGTGATGGTTTCTTGTTTTATTTGTTATTTCTCGATGAGGATTTATTTTTTTATATTTTTTAAACAGGCACAATCAAAAGTAACATGCATTTTGACAGATGAAATTCTCAGAACACATGTATTAAGAAAGCTTGCTGTTTATGGAACAGCAATACAATATGACCTTGGCTGAAATTTTCCCACTACTAGAATTTCCATATTTGCTAAGCATGTAAGCTAGGGCTGGCTTCTTTTGTACAATTATGGAATTCAAATGCTTTTTATAGGTCTGTCCGCAGTCTCTCATTCAAATCCCAATGTGTAGAAGAAAAACATGTTGCTAAATTCAGATTAATTTTATGCACATCAAAAAAGTTGGGATATTTTAAGATCATGCAATGCGCTTTACAGAAGGACAATATTATTCCACCATCCACTCAAGATGCTTTACAATTCTGACAACTTTTGCAACCCCTATGTACCTCACACACAAATATCGTTATGAGAGGGTAAAGCCTAACTCAATGATGGTTAATCCTTGGGGTTGGGTTTTTTTTTTTTCCTTCTTTTAGTCACAACCCTAGTGAATATTTAACTGTGCATTTGACAGCTCATTTCACTTCAGAGATCAGGAGAAAAAGGTGTCTAAAAGTATACTCTAAGTTGGAAACAACTGCTGTGGATGTAATGACCAAAAAAATTGGAAAAGACATTATCAACATGAAATAAGAGCATATAAGACACCTGAAGCAGAAAAAGCAAAAGTATTTCTATAAGGTGAGTTGGCTTAATCCATCCATCTGCATTAAAGAAACATATTCAACTACTCATCCTGTCTACCACAGCAGTCATCTTAGCCTGTGACAAACACCACCATGTTCCATTCAAAGATTTTACTGCTGTTGGGTTGTGGAAGTAGCAAAAGGAGGGAGGGTTCACAGACTCCAAATAAGACACAACCCCAAGAGCAGCTCTGGGATATATGTCCTTCTGAATCTCCTTAGCGTATACAGCCCTTTCTGTTCTTATCTTTACGATGCTAACACCTATCATGAGACACTAAAATATCCCACAATGAAGACAGAGCACCATCTGGTAAGCACAATACTGATTAAATGCTCTGATAAGAGCTCTAAGAACTAAAGCAAAACTACTTTTTGCATTCAATTCTGCAAATCTCCTTTATCACTTTCAAACATAAATAAAGCAGAGTTATTCTGACTTTACAACTTCCGTCATCCCTGATCAAGTGCCAAATGAAGCCCCACAGCCTCTTTCAAGGAGCAGCACCAGCACTTATAGCAGATGCTCTTAGAGCTACTGAACAGATGTCCCAGGGCAAGGCAGCAGGCACAGATGGCATCCCTGCAAATATGTACAAACTTGGGGTTGCCATCTAGTCAAAACACTTGTGCATCTGCTTAACATTG